GACTTTCTCCCAATGCTCCTGACTGGAGACGGCCAAGTTAGTACTAGGAGAAGAACTAGGAGACAGTACGAACTCAATCCAGAACGTCTAGCTTCATTGAGACCACGTTTAAAAAGAAACAATAGATTTGAAGTGAGGCATCCAGCTAATACATATTACCATAGCGAATATTAGCGATTCAAACCAGATAAAAGAGCCAAAGTCATAGGAAGAAGCTATAAATTCTGAACAACGTCAGGAATGGCTAGAAGCCATGGAGGCCGAAATGAACAGCATGAAGGCCTTAAACGTGTGGACTCTGACCACATTACCCCCTGGACGCCGAAGTTAAGGCTGTCGGTGGGTTTTTCAAGATAAAACGAAATGCTGAGGGAAAGATCGAAAGATGCAAATCGAGAATCGTTTTGAAAGGGTGCGCTCAAAAAGCTGGCATCGATTATATTATGAAGAACTATTCAGTCCTGTGTCACGCTTCGAGTCCATCAGACTCGTTCTGAGGATTGCCGCAAAAGAGAAACTCGAACTCTTTCAGTTCGATGTTGCTTCCGCTTTCTTATCCGCGGAAATTGAGGAAGAATTATATATGGACCAACCGGAGGGCTTCCATGATAATACTCCGCGAGTATGTAGACTTAACAAGGCTCTTTACGGGAGTCGTCAGGCCCTCCGATGCTTCCATATGAAGATCAAATCCGTGCTCCTTGGTCTAGGACTCAGACATTGTCTCGCCGAACCATGTGTTTTTTACGGCGACGATGAGGACAGACTAATCGTATGCTTATACGTCGATGATGCAATTCTGGCAGGACGTACGGAGAAATCAATACTCGATTTCCTGATTAAATTAAAACAGCATCTCGAGATTACGTATAAACCGCTTGATTTATTTCTCGGAATACAAATTCACAGAACGAATGACATGAGCGTGGTCATGCGTCAAAAACGCTGCACCCTTGATATTCTCAAACGTTTCGACATGACGAATTGCAAGCCCTGTTCAACACCAGCTGACAGAGACATATATTCCCTCGATGAGACTGAGGCACTCGAGGATATACCCTATCGAGAACTCATTGGAAGTCTCATGTATCTGCAGTTAGGTATCAGACCGGACATTTATCGTTGGTTATCTATCGCGCTTCTTAGAGCATCCAACAAAGATGAGATGGTCTGAAGGATTGAGAGTCCTTCGCTACCTAAGAGGAACAGCAAACTATGGAATGGTTTACAACAGTTCCGATTTCACGGGACACCGCTATTACAGCGATGCAGATTACGCTAGTTGTCCAATCACGAGAGAAAGTGTGTCGGGCTCTCTTGTGATGACTGACTCTGGACCCGTCATTTGGGGCAGTCAGTTACAAAGGACCCTTCCCCTTCCGAGCTGCGAGAGCGAACTTATCGCAGCAGTCTCAACCATACAGCTCATGCTGTATTTCGAACAAATCACAGAAGAAATTGGCCACAGCCACACCAAGACGCTTCTGATTGACAACCAAGCAACGATTTCATTGGTGAGTGAAAACCAATATCGTCAACGAACCAAGCATATTTAAGTTCGTTATCTGTTCATGAGAGATCTTTTCGAAAGTGGTCGAATCAAAATCCAGCATGTTCCGACCCAAGATCAGCTCGCAGACATTTTCACCAAGGCCTTAACGAAAGCTACCTTTCAAAAGCTTAGAGGTCTAATTGGTATTTCTGCTCACGAGCAATATGAACACCATAATCAAGGTACTCTTGGTGATCATCACCATCGAATGCTCCGAGGCCTTCTTCGAGTACACCCGAGACTGCGACAGGGCCTGCCAACAGAGACGTCGTACTTGTGGAATCGAGCAGACAGACAACGGAAATTTCATGTCCACTTGTTCCGAGACTGAGGCAGCCTGCACTCTGCACTCATCGCCCAGGATGGTTTGCATCACACCCGACAAGTAATTGGCGGACTTTCTCTCTGGGACGCATATAGTCGGTGGCTCCACACCACAACGACATCAGCTCCCAGCACCACGCCTGTTCCAACATCCTCGACAACCGCACCAACATCGGAAACTCCCACTGGTCGGCCTACCACGGGAATGCCAAGCACAACAAGGGCGCCGACACCAACGCCGGTGCCTTCAGGCGGAGACCTCAAGTGGTGGTTTTCAACTGGATCTCTATGCTCAATCATTACTGCTCTAAGCGGAGTGATCTATTTTCTAGCTATGAGGCTGAAACGCCTGGGCTACCAAGAGATCGAATCGAGAGCTAGGCCACTAAACGGATTGGAGGATGAGGAACTCTAACAGTGAAGGCACATTTACGTTTCAACAATTTTTGATCTTATTATAAGACTTTCAGAATTTTGAAAACGGGTCTGCGCCCCTTCTCTCGTTCCATGCGTTGTCCCTTCGTAGTGGGACCAGGGAAACGAGTACCCTTGTCCTCGGAGGGGGGGGCGAAGCTTCCCAATACAGGCATAACGGATCGGATTTGGAGTGGAGAAGGAAACCGCCCACAATGCGGTCGGCCCGATATCTCTTTACGTCCATTTCCTTGGACGGGCCCTCACTCATGCTTTTCTCGAATTCATAGAGATCAGGCATCAGATATCGAGTATTATTTGGAATGATACATACGGATAACACAAAGGAGCTTCGCTTACCGACGCTCACCACCACGACCACAAAAACTGTCAATAAAATGACACAGACGAAAACATGTTGCCGGGTAATCTCCGGCCCGCGTCTTTCCGACAGCATTCCCAATTCCATTTGTCTCAATTCGATTGAGTCCCGTCTCGGCCTCGGCCCGTATCTGATGCTTTTGGAGCGCTGACCCAAACATGAGGTTAGGGCCGGTAGTGGGGAGAACAGAATCTACAAAAAAAATCCTAGGTGGCTCACATTCGCTTTGGCAACCTTTGCCATGGTGGTCCTTGTCTCTTGAAACTCTTCGGTTTCGAAACTCGTTGTCTACACCTACTCAATGGGATGAGCACCCCTTTTATACCAATTCCACTTCGTCGGATCTCCTCGTTCACCGAGAGATAGCGATTGTGATCCGGTAGGACGAGCAGGTGGTCTTTAGAAGAAAACAAGCAGATGATCGGCGGTCGGAGCATCACTTGTGGTTTTCCACTCGACGAAGCAGGTCAAGGTCTCGTGTGCTCCGCGCCACACTCGTTCGCTGACGTTTCTCATCCAGCTTAATCTAGTTCTGTGCGCATCCTATACGGTGAGTCGCTGCCCCCTTTCGATTTCAGACTTCATCCGCTGTCGTCATTTACGACTGGCATACTCGGCTCACGCCTCGTGCGAACCACGTGCGAGGAGCCACGTGCTCACCGCATGGGCTAGACCTCGCACTCTCCGCACAGTGCCCGGGTAACTCATCCCGCTTCAAGCAGCGCCTCGCGCGCGCGATTCTGCTCTGAACTGACTGATGAGCACCCCTTTTATACCAATTACAGACAATGAATTTATTTAGTCAGTTTTTCCAGGCTAGAAGAAAGCTCAGAGATTAACCTCTCCATTTGCTCCCTACGTGCAACACACTCCGGGCGGTTACAGGGCCTGGGAGGCGAGCGCTCTCGAAGAGCCTGCTCACGATACGGACGACGAGCTTCAGCATCCATGTCTGGCCAGATGAGTCCAGCAACATCGATGGCTTGTTGAAAACGAAGCCGATCCCTACGCTGAACCATGAGTGCATATTGAATGAAGCCATTCCTGGATCGCCGTTCCCGATGACCAACAACCTGAGCAGACGGTTGAACAACCTTATCTCGAATCACGATCGGACAGGTAGCAGCACCAGCGTTTTGATCGAAATTCAATGCCTCAGTTTCAAGCTCGTTCCTGGGAGAAAGATTCCAAGCGTCACAGCTTCCAGAGGGAGACAGAGACTGTTCAGACATGGCTATTCCTCAACGAAGAAAACCGGATACCCACTGGAGAAAATTGACCGTATATATATGGTAGCGTTCAGATAACGAAGGTGGGGTTAGCAACGATGGTTTACTGTGGATTAGCACGGGCTTTTATAGAAGCGTGAGATGGCGCTACGGGCGCCGCTTCATTCGGCCATGCTACCGGTTCCGAACGTCCTCGTTCGAAGGGTCGTTGCAGACTTTTCCGCTGCGGGGAGGGTAACAGAGGTTCATCAATGGTGCATCTAACTTTCGACGAATGTCCCACTCTGAGAGGACCACGGGGCGATCGCTTCCGTCTCGACACATTCTCGCAATTTTCGGATCCTTCCTGAGCGATCAAACCGTCTTGTGATCATTGGTTGTCGGAACGACGACACAGACATGGATGACTCTAAGACGAAGCTGACAAACGTGGCAATTCTTCACATAGTCCCTCACACAACGGCGAAGCCGTCTCCCAAGATCAAATCGTTCTCGCACGCGACGCTCCATTACTCGGATTCCGGGATGCTCTGGATTTCCACTATCATGGCACGACATGATGACTTCCTCACTCAGAGAACCAGGGACGCACAAGCGTCGATCTCGATGGAGAAGATTCTCTTCGAGGGCATATTTCCCCAGCGGAATGCCGTCTCGGAGGTTCTTTATTTTTCGGCGATAGTCTAGAATCCTGCTCTGCTCTTCTCGAACTCGCAATTGGAATGAGCGCTTAGCGTCGGAGTATTTGGATTCATGGACGCTTTCCTTGGCAACGTCGAGAGATGGTTCCCGATTATCCACAAAGACGTATCTATCAGCCATTTGCATCAATGACTTGAAGTCTTTGGGACTTGCGGAAGCCACGAAATTCGCGAATTCACGCGAATCGCAAGACGCTCGGATCTCGTCAACGAAGTCTTCGAAGACAAACGGAACACCCACTTCTATCAACAGAGAATGTTTCCTCCTGGTGAAGGAAGTCACAGGTTCGCTGAGTAGCCGTTTGCAACTGTAATATTCAGCCGGAGACCTTCTCCTTCCCTCCGGGAAACGCGCCAGGAACTTATCCTTGAAACACGCCCACGTAGACCGAGTCCCTATGTCGGCCACGAACCAGATCTTCGAATCCTCATCCAGTGTACAGTATCCCGGCGCTGACAGACACACCACTTTCGCCCAACTGGCCGACACCAACGAGTTGAGAGCGTACCACAAGATGGCTTTGGTCAATTTTTCGTCATCGGTGGCTTCCACGGGGACAACCACTATCACAAGAGTTGCAGAAAATTCAACCTGTCGACACGAACATGGTCGCACGTGACACCTATGAACGTCGAGAGATGTTATGTGAGCACAGCGGTCGTCGACGGAAAAATCTACAACGGTCGCTTCAGGCTAAATACGGCGGAGGTTCTGAACTTGGAAACAAACCAGTGGTCCCTGATCCGACCCATGGAATATTAGAGGAGCGACGCCGCGTGCGCGGTTGTCAATGGCAAAATCTACGCGATAGGCGGCTTCACCGGCACCATGTGCAATCGCACTGTGGAGTGTTGTGATCCGGCGAGTAATTCGTGGACTCTCGTCTCGAGCATGAGTACCGTACATTCTGGCATGTGCGCAGTAGCTCTCGACGGGAAGATATACGCGCTCGGTCGATCGAGCGGCAGCTCGAGGCTCAGTTCGTGTGAAGTCTACGATCCCGCGACCGATAAGTGGTCTCCGATTGCGCCAATGTTGACAGCCAGGAGTAACTCCGCGACGGTCGTATGCGCTTCGAATATCTACGTGTTCGGTGGTTACACAGGACAAGCGACGACCAAGCGAATTCTGCGAATGCTGCAGCCCGGCCACCAACGAGTGGTTTGTTCTGACCGATATGACGCACCCACGGTCGGCGTTGGCAGCGATTTTCATCCCGTGTTTCGACGGAATCAAAGAGCTCTCCTACCCCAATCGGAAACAGATATTTCTGGAAGCACAGCGGTTATCTGTTGTCACGGGGGTGGATTAGAGGAAAACTACCGCAAAGCGAAAGCCTTGAATGACGATAATCAAGATGAGAAATTGGACCAGGAGATTCAAAAATTGGATACGGCGTGACTTCGAAACAAGGCACTCCCATATATTCGAGCTCCTGCAGACGATACGCGTTTATCTTATCGATGAAGCCGCGGTTCGCGATTTGCTCTCGTCTAGTTCGCTCCAGAGCGGTCACGATAGGTGCAAGTTTTACTTGATGAGAGTGCACTCTTCCATGAACACGAGGACGCCATTCCTCCACGACCTCGGAGAGGAGCTGCCAGCGAAGTCCACGATCCCGAGGGAGCCTCATGATCCTCATCCTGGGAGGCTGGCTCCAGGCACCTTCAAATCTGTCCGAAGTCTACGATCCCACCGCTGCCACCAAATGTAGCGTTCAGATAACGAAGGTGGGGTTAGCAACGATAGTTTATTGTGAATTAGCACGGGCTTTTATAGAAGTGTGAGATGGCGCTACGGGCGCCGCTTCAATATGTAACAGGGGTGATCGATTTTTGGACTCTTCCTCAGAAACTTTCCTATATTGTAATATAGATTCATAGGGGCTCATGCCATATTCGGAGCATAGGTGCTTCTTTTTGACAGCTGACAGCTGTTAGATGCTGCTTTTCGACAGCTGACAGCTATCATGTATTGGAGTGCCAGCTCATTTCGAACACATACGTCAACTTTCCGTCGCTACCGAGCTTTAGGAGGGTCACTTCCAAGAATTAGGCGCTCCAGCTTCCTCCGCTAAAACGGCGGGCTGTGCCGCCATCTTAGTCGAGGAGATGGCCTAGACCCAATGGTGGGAGCTGTCGGGCTCCCTTGTTGTAGCTTCTGGTGAATCTCTCGATTTGCCTTTTTCTCGCCAAACTCACTCGTCGGTGATGCACCACGGCGGGTCTCAGAGTTGTCTTGGGTGCCGGCAGCCACGTTCTTGTACGTCGCGAAAGGGACATTTGTCCGGGTCGTCTTCTTCTTCCGGAAAATTTGATCTCGCCGCAAGCAAACTTCGCATCACCGACAAAGAAGGGTTTGGATTTGCAAATGGCATGAAAATGTATCTCTCTCCGGTAATTCTCTCCCATGGTCGAGACTTTGAATAGAAATCTTTAAGCAGGATGTGCTTCCCAAATCTGCTGTCCGCCATGCGCTCTTGGGTCCTCTCTGAGACCCGCCGTGGTGCATAACCGACGAGTGAGTTTGGCGAGAAAAAGGCAAATCGTGAGATTCACCGGAAGCTACAACAAGGGAGCCCGACAGCTCCCACCATTGAAGGTTGGAGACGATGAAGTCTTTTAAAATCGGGGAATACCGCTGTAAGAAGGCGACAGTGAGGAAAGGCTGGCGAATGACCGATACGAGATCGATCGTGACGGACGCATCATACTCAGAAACAGGGAGTTCCTGAAAGAAAACCCAGAAAATCCGCGACAAATGAAAGCACCGGTTACAGTCGGCATTCAAGCAGAAACAACGGAGGAAGCGAGTGGTTCATGGTTAGCAAACGTCCCGCAACGGCTCAAAATTGATCACGTTGGATCAGACCGAGAGTCAGAGACATCCAGTGTAGGAACCCTATACAGTTGTGACGAAAGGAGGGTAAGGAAGAGGAAACCAAAGAAGATCCGGGAAAGGAACGCTCGGAATCGATAACGCACAAAGAAGAGGTTAAACGGGAGACGAAGAAGGAGGAGAAGCGGGCCTGAGCCCAAAGAGAACTGCGACCCAGAGCCACCATCGAAAAACCAAATAGATACGAAGCTGGAAGTCACGTTGTGAAAGAAAATAAATTGAACTCCAGGAGGAAGAAAAGAGAATATAGTTGTGGCAAGATCGTTACAATATATGTAATTAATGGTACTACACCAATAATACAATATCAAAGGACAAAGGGAGATGTTGACAGACATAGATCACCAGCATCTCATCATATTAAACAGTCAGTCGTAGACACGTCTCAAGTCTCAATCCTGCGCGGTCGTTATTTTAACAGGAATGCTCCGGGAATCCTCGGTATGAGAAACCCGAAAATTTTCGGACTTCTATCCACAGAGCATGGAGATCTCGAAAGGGAATACTCCGGGAATCCACGGCATGAGAGACCTGAAATTTTCGGACTTCTATCCACAGAGCCTGGAGATCTCGAAAGGGAATACTCTGGGAATCCTCGGGATGAAAGACCCGAAATTTTCGGACTCCTATCCACAGAGCATGGAGATCTCGAGAGGGAATACTCCGGGAATCCTCGGGATGAGAGACCCGAAAATTTCGGAATTCTATCCACAGAGCATGGAGATCTCGAAAGTGAATACTCCGGGAATCCTCGGGATGAGAGACCCGAAAACTTTCGGACTTCTATCCACAGAGCCTGGAGATCTCGAAAGGGAATACTCCGGGAATCCTCAGTTTGAGAGACCCGAAAATCTTCGGATGTTCTATCCACAGAGCAGCGGCATCTCGGAAGGGAATATGTACTCCGGGAATACTCGGTGTGAGAGACCCGAAAATCTTCGGACTTCTATCCACAGTTCATAGAGATCTCGAAAGGGAATACTCCGGGAATCCTCAGTTTGAGAGACCCGAAAATCTTCGGATTTTCTATCCACAGAGCAGCGACATCTCGAAAGGGAATTGATGGGCTAAAGTAGCTACCCAGAAAAATTCTAATGACCATGAGTTGACTCACGGTGTCCAGACCGGACGCTGGAACAATGACTTCAGTATTCTGTAACTTAGTGTAAGTTCGGTGACCGTCATAATTGTAGTGGACGGGTTACTGACTTGCCCCTTTCCTTCCAGCACTATATAAGGCATAATAAAGCTCAGTACTAGTGGGGGAGCCTTTGGTATTTCACACCAAGCAGTGTTCGTCTTTAATAGCCGTTGTCCCACTTGTATCAAGCACAGCATCGATTCGAGCTCACCGCAGCCAGAGCTAGTAGGCTAGATAGCCGTGAAAACCTATCAGGAATACGCCGGGAGTACTCGGTATGAGAGACCCGAAAATCTTCGGACTTCTATCCACAGAACATGGGGATATCGAAGAGGAATACTCCGGGAATCCTCCGTTTGAGAGACCCGAAAATCTTCGGATTTTCTATCCACAGAGCAGCGACACCTCGAAAGGGAATACTCCGGCAATCCTCAGTTGAGAGACCCGAAATACTTCGGATTTCTATCACAGAGCAGCGACATCTCGGAAGGGAATATGAACTCCGGGAATACTCGGTATGAGAGACCCGAAAATCTGCGGACTTCAACCCACAGAGCACGGAGATCTGGAAAGGGAATATGTACTCCGGGAATACTCGGTATGAGAGACCCGAAAATCTAGCCCCCCTTCCCCGGGAAAAATTCCTGCATACGCCCCTGCCCTCGTTCACCAGTAACGACTCAAGGAAGACCCGCCCGAGGGAGTGTGTCGCCGGACTCTCGACGTCACCCATGCCGTGAATCGGTGACGACTCTGAAACAACTCCAGAGCCTAGCTCACTCGCCTTGCTCGCGCGAATGAGCACGGACGGGCATCCGGTATCCATCAATCCGGTCACCTTGAACTTGCCGTCAATGATGCATTCCTTTTCATATTTGGAAATAGTGGACTCCTCCTCGGCCGAGGACGTGAAGTTTCCGCGACGGCGGCGGTCAGGGTCGCGCTCTGCAGGGCAATCCCGATGGAAGTGGCCCGATCGGCCGCAACCCCCACAATTCGGCTGCAGTCCGACCGAGCGATCTCTCGGGGCATCCGCGAGGCCCGTGGCCCTTTCTCCATCCCGGAACGTCCCTATGATGCTCGGGAGCTGCAGACGGCCTGCGAAACTACGCATCGCGCCCGACGCGATCTTACCGTCCCGGCGCGCCGGACGCTTCTTCCGGAGCCCTCTGCCGCTAACGCTCTCGACTACTCTGAAAGGGAGCTTGGGCGCTTGCCACCAAGAAAGGAAGGATGGCCCCACGGATGGCGCAGAGACCACTGGCGCAGCGGGTGAGCCGGGCATACTGCACGGTCTCGGCGGTTGCTGCCCTTGTGCTCGCGAGGATGGTTCCGTGGGACCTACTGCCCGACGGAAGGACCAGGTGCTGGGCGGATCACGGGAAGGAGCGGGAGACCGCGAGCCAGAGCACGCTCAGGGCGTGGCAGGAGGAATTGGATGCGGGCATGGTTGGGAATTCAATTGGGAAATGGACGAAGGAGCTGATCAGGGATATCAGAGGGTGGGTGGACAGCAAATATGAAGAGCTAAACTACGAGGTGAAGCAGGTCCTGAAGGGGCACGGGCAATTCCAGACTTTCACGGCGAGTTTCGGACGGTCCGAGAGCGACATGTGCGTCCTCTGCGACTCGGGGGAGTCCGACAGGTTTGACCACACTATGCTGCGCTGTGCCGCCCTCCGTGATATCGGGGGAGACGGGGCTACGACCGGTCAGGGCTGAGGAAAAAGGTTCGATTAGAATCGAGGGGCGCGCAGGAGTAGGAAAGGGTCTCGAGGTTTCTGGATAGGGTTATGGCGGAGAAAACAGCAGAGAAGGAGGCGAGAAGGGCGGGTATACGTCGGAGGGCTGCGGCGGAGGAGGGGGTACGGCCGCGCGGTCGGGCCTCTGAGGGTGTCGTGGGACCGACGCCGACGGACTCTCATGGACCATAAGGCTGGGGCTGGCAGGCCATTTGTAACAGCGGCAGACGTTCACCATCATCCACGGCACACGACAACGATACACGATCACTCAGAGACAACAGCATTTACCCACTCACATCGCTTGCGAACAAGGGAGGCACTAGCGTAGGGGGAGAAACCGTAGGCGGCTGGCAACCGTCGTAACATGAACAGCAACATTCTAATACGTTCATCATCCAACACGGTATACAACAACGACACACGATCATCTCATACAACGCGACATCACAACGCTCATACATTTCTGGCAGAAGAGGTCGAAGTAGGGGGTGAGAGCAGCTACCGTTCTCAAAAGTTCTGAGTAATGCTAACCCAGTTCCGTGCATGAGAGCGGCGCCTCTGTCCGAAAGCGGGGGTCGGGGACTCACCAGGTTTTTAGTGGGTTTGCGACTCCCACAGTACCGTGAGGCGCTGTGGCACGGTCTGCAACAGGCATTTTCAATCCTGGCCCCACAAGGAGAAAGGTCAGGAATCCTCGGAATGAGAGACCTGAAAATTATCGGACTTCTATCCACAGAGCATTGAGCTCTTATTCACGAGGGTGCAGTTAGAAGATCCTCGAGGCTGAAATCCCGGTTTCTCATCGTCCTGATCCCTAATTTACTACATTTTTTCACGCCCTTCCCTCCCTTGAGCCCTTGAACAAAGAGAACATTGGCCGTCTCAATCTAATTTTTGTTCAGGTAATCATGAGTTTATTGAAAATACTCGTATTCGTCCTTGATACTCGTATCCTTCCAGGATACTTCCCTGACGCTTCCTATTATACGAAGTCGATGTGTTTCTTACGTACAATGATACTAACCTGGTCGGAAGGAGGATCGTGTCTCAATCAGTGAGGAGCAGAGACTGTTCGAGAGCGGCGCTGTCACCGAACGAAACGTGGAGCACGGAAATCTCTACCATATCAACTTGTCGCGGCCAATCTTTTCGAGTCGGCACGGAGTCACGTGACTCGTGATCACAGAGAGATACTGATGAACTTCTCCGCCTTCAAGTTTCTGTATACTTTCAGAAAAACGAATTCTGAGGATAAGCTCGGAATTGGCTGTGACCAATTCGCCACCAAGTCACTGAGTTGGAACCGCGGGTCAATCTGTATCTGTCTCATCCTCCGCAGTGTCCATCCCGGGTCTCCATTGATGGGGCTGAGACGAAAAACTGAGACTAACCCGGAGAGCGACTGAGACATCCAGAAGGGTATGTCCAGATTCCAGACTTTCTCTCGTTCATCGCTGATTCATCTTCATCCATACACATCATTGGAATACGGTTTGCACTCACCCAGTTTCAGGAGTTTCCAACCCCAAGCGGCGATGTAGTTTGTACACGTAGCTCAGAGGGCTATATCTCGTCTGAAGGCTCTTATGTATATGAAGTATGTGAAGTCTGAAGTTATCGCATTATATTTACATTGATAAATCTTCAATCGGATTCTCCACGCCATTCAGTCAAGCAGACAGATGAACCAGCAGACAGTGTTAGGGGAAAATACAGAGCAACTCCCCCCTTACGACTTGATGGATGCCGGCGTTGAAGCTGAACTGACTGATACAGCACCCAGGGCCTTAAGCGGATGGGAAGGGAGGGGGATGGATGTGACGTAGAAGAAGTGCATTCTTATTGTTATTGTTATTGGTGGCCGCGGAAGCTTGGACAGTTCTAGGCGCGATCGGACGTTTCGGCAAGGCTGCAATCGGAATAAGAGGTTTTCTGTGTCCCTGCTTCGGAAGTTGGACCTGGCTGGCGGTCGGCAAAGGGTTTGTAGGAGAAGCCGGAGTCATCGAGAGCTTCCGATTCAAGGGTTGCACCGTTTCGCTACTCGGCAATATGATTGGAGCTGTCGTCGACGAGGTGGAGCTGGCGCTGGCCAAGGACGCTTGAGAAGCGGGGGTTTGGGGTCTCGTCTAGGCGTCGACATCCTTGCGATTAGGAATCGGGGGGTATGGGACTGAGGAGTCTCTTCATAGGATCATAAAGTGACGACGAGCTGAGGGAGTGGGATGAGTTTTGCGGGGACGCTGTCTATGACTCTATGGGCGTGATGGTGAATGGTGACCTCCAAGGTCGCTCGCGGACTATTCGGTGCGGGTATTTCCGTCGTGGACGGTTTCAACTGAGAACGAAAGTTCTCGGCATCAACGACACTTCGAATGTACGATCCAACGATCGATATTGGTATACCATATAATATATAATATATAATATAATAATAATATATAATATATATATAATGATTAATGATATACGATGATATATAATGGATATTATGGATACATATTATGATCTCCAGTATACATATATCACCTTTTTTTATCGCCGCGTTGGCAAGCAGGACGGCGTCCGCCCACTGCTCCACGTTCGAAGCAGTGGTGGGTATAGAATCCGCGAATGCCTCACCGAGGAACGGATTTTTGTATTCCTCGGACATCCCTCTGAGTGCGGTGAAACGTCTTTTATGCACTGCATCAAAGTGGTCTGAGCCTTGTTTCAAGGCTTTTCCAGTTCCTGGGATGATGCCTTTTTTTGACGTAGAACTACGTCATTGCGCTCGTTAGAGGGGCCATCGGTGAACATCTCGCGTTACGGAAGTGACTGTTTTTTGTCAAACAGGAATCGGCGTTAAAAGACCCGGAAACACTGTCTCAAGGTTGGAGACCGACGAACTAAGCTCGGCATCCATGTACGTGACTCTCTGCGCACCCCCGTTTCACACAAAAGCTCCCCCACTGAGAGCACCGGAAGCGCGCGAAGAGGAGTAGAAATTCAAAATTGATCATATGGCGCTTGGCGTTCACGGTCTACAGCATTGGCTCCGTGGTAGGCCGGGTCAATGATCGACGGGTCTTCGAGTGTGTTTGAGTGGTGGCATAAGGTCGAGCCCTTCTGTTGTGGAATTATGCAGTTTTCCGAAACCTCAATCTCTGTTTTTGCGGTCCAAACCAAAGAAGTTCCACATCTCCCCCCACGATGTGGAGCGCTCAGTACTTGCCTGTAGACGAAATTCGTCGTGGATTCCAAACTTGAATGCTGCACAGCAAGAGCATTGCTCTCAACCGTGTCACAGGATCTATGAAAGCGGAAAGATATAGGCTCCAAGGCGGATCTATTTGACCCGAAGCCGCGCTCGTCGTGTTGCGCGCTGCGTTCGCCGCCGCGGCTGTTCTCTGACAGCCGCACCGATTGGAATCAGGAATCAGTGCGCCACAGCGGCGGCCGCTCACTCCGAAGCCGCGCTGACAGGAATGAATGGTGGAGGAACCAAAGTAGATTCCCAATATAATGAAGTCCAATATAATGAAAGTGCGGATTCTGGTAATCGACTTGGTTTTCGGTGAAATCGAAATTCCTGATGTCGTTCATTCCCGAAACAGGAAGTTCGACTTTCAGTGGAAAGTAGTGGACACAATAGCCGGCGGGGGCGGCCGATGGCGGCTCCTGTTCATTTTGCAGGAATCCAAGGAGCTCTTCGTCAATCCCATCATTGATCAATTCAATCGACCTATCAAACCCATCAATCTCAGAGTTGGAGAAATGAGACTCCGTGGGCTTGATTTCTTGGACGCGCGGGGATGATGTTCATTCCTCAATAAATTATAGTTTACTCGAACACATCGTGGATACGGCTCTCCTATTTTTTTAATTTGGATCCGATCTGTCGAACAAACGATTCAGATTGCGAGGCGGGATCATGACCCATGTCATCGGCTATGGCTTCTCAATAAGGCGGATTGCTCCGGCGAGACAAGCCGACAAACGCCGTTAAAATGGATGCGTCCGCAGCTCTCTCTCGGAGCATATCGTGTATGAGTTCGACACCTGCACAAAGAACTCATATCTCTCATAGAATTACAGATAGCTCCGGCGGCGCGACGACCCGTTCTTCGAGAGAATATCTCAAGAAGACATCGGGAGGTGGAATGAAGGTTGCTTGTGAATAATTGCCGGCGGCGCTGCTGAAGTTCGCATCTTCGAAATTTTCACGTCACTGATATTCATTATAGGTGTTGTGGGATAGATTATGAGTCGAGATTATCGGAAAGCCGTATAGGTCTGATCAAGCAATGCGTCCGGGAGAAGAGAGCACACACAGTGAAGTCGTAGGGAAATTGAGCGCCAGCCTCTGGATTGTTGAATGATCAGAGCCGACACTTCTCGATCGTGAAACAGTGCGTGCGTTGACAAACCAATATTCACCATCATAAACTAAATAAAAGTTGATAAACAGCCTCGCTCGAAAGGCGAGCCAAAATTGTCCCTTTGGGTGTTCCACTCATTCTCAACGAACGCATTCTCCGTAGTTCTACGCGAACTTCGGTTTGGCCCTTGGCCGAACCGGAATCATTTTTTTTTGGAGACTCTCAAGTCCTTCGAGCGAAATACGCACACGGGAACATGATTGCCGTCGTCATCGACTCTTACGTTCTTCAAAGTGCTCAAGCCCAGACCTGTGCGCCGCGGTTGAAGGTGACGGCGGCGGCGGTGGACCGAAATATTGACAGCGGCGAAGCACGCCGCGGCGTTTTGCGACGGTACGGCCCGCCGCGGCGGGGCAGATCAGTCGGCGGCGAAGCGGCTCCGTAGCGCGTTGCTGAATTCGAGAAGACATCATGCAAGCATGTTTCCCCCACACCTTATCCGCTCCGCGAGCTGACCGATAGCATATCTCTCGATGATCTCCT